GATTCAAATCCAGCAAGGATGATGACCATTTCTGATTGGAGATAAAGACCGGAATTTGTTTTTTTAGCTACGCTTGGGTCATTTTTTGCACTTTAAGTTCGTGCTGAATCCTGCTGAGAGGTCTCATCGATTCCTTTGAATTGGATCTCACTTAGGGGATGTACCACGGACTCAAAAACATATTTTAAGAAATTTTATTCCCCCACCACCCCCCAATTTCCAGCAAAATGTAGAGAAATTACCCCAATTAGCTCCCACCTGCCAAAATCATCAAAAAACCTGGATAATGTGAATTTCTGGCCTTTTGTCTATATCGGGGGATATCTCTGACCGATTTTGCGTAGATTAGGACAACTCGCTTGTTAAAAGATTTTTCCGATGTGAAAATCTCCTCATTTGTAAAAAGAATCCTGCTCACTGTTTTGGAGCGTACCGCTTGAGGTGACTGCTGCATTTCTTTAATCTGGCTTTATTCTGGGGTACGATCAGGCTGTGGCAAGTACCACATTTTAAAACCTTAAGCCCAAGCTTAAATTTGAGCAATGATTGGATAACTTTCATCGACACTGTCAGCAGTGAGCCCGGTTTCCGTTGGAATTTCGTGAATTTCTTCGGATTCCAGGCTTAAGAGGCTTCACGATGGGTGTGGTCCTTGGAGGTTTTCAAAAAATTCTTCTTCGACTGTTCTTAGTCGATTCGGTCCCCATGAACCTTTTTATAGTCCGTTGGGCTAATTATAGTACACCTTTGACTTTTTCAACACATGTCAAATTCACTATTTTTCTTGGATTTTTTTTTGTGAAAAACTATCGCCGCCCGCTTCTCTTCAATTTCCTATATATTTATCAAGATGTTCAAAAATTACAAAGTCCATAGTGAATCATTGTGTAAATCGCGTGGCGAATCTAATGCACTTATCAGATTTTAATTCTGCGGCGTAGTTTTTTATCAATCAGCTATGGACACTTGAGTGTATACGACTAGGTACATAAAACACTCTTAAAGATAATATCACTATATTGATAAGAATATGTATAAATCCTTTCTGAATTCCATATTAAGCATTTTTTGAATTCGAATTTTGTGTCTCAACTTCCCCACGTCTCATATATTCAAATGGCAATTTTGAAACATTTCATTTGTATTCCCTTCTTAATGAAGGCTTCATTTCATTTAAAATGAGCTAATTTTGGGTTTGTAAAGCTACCTACATAGGTTAGAATTCGGATTTTCTTTGCCAACATAAAATATTTAATTTGTACTCATAATTTATCTATTTTGTTTCGATCTTATCATGGCAGGAAAATGAGTCAAAATTTTAACCTCCTTACTCCGTAAAACTAAAATTTATCTATTTTTAGATGGAATCAAATCGCAAGCTTGTAAAAAACATGGGTACATATTGATGCGTTTGAAAATCACCATGTGAATAGATACGTGGAAGAAAGGAAAGTCGGGAAACAAAAATTCGAATTAAAAACCCGAATGCGATGAAACGCTAAGTAAACTATTCTAAATTCAGAGTAAGGTTAACTTTTTAACCAGTTAGGCCTCCTTGGATTTAGTTAAGTCTACTTGATTTAGAATTCAGCCTGAGTTTCCTAGTCCAAAGGGTAGCATTATCTTTAAGAGTGGGTGTACGTACAATACGTGCGACACTCCGTCAATCACGCCCCATTTGTGGCTGTAGGTCAAGTTGTTGAAGGCCACGGGCTCCGGGATCGGGACGTGGTTGCCCCCCTTGGCGGACAGGTGGGCAAAAAGCAGCTGGTCAAACACGTGGTCCACATATTCCGACCTTTCAACTAGCAACTTCACCAGATCGGGATCTCTCTGATTCGCAATCGTTAGCACTGTTTGAAAAAAAATAATAAATTCGCAATTTTGCAAATACATAAATTTGGCTTCAAACTTTATTTGGGAATCTTCCCATCTCCAAAGCTTGTATTGGTTCAAAATTTATTTTTGAGTAACAATGATCAATTCGAGGGTCACCAAAAAATTACATCGAGAGGATCCCAAGGATCCTGAACTTTTTTGTCTACAACCAAATCGAGAGTTTTTTGGAAATTTAAAAAAATCTAAAAAAAAGTTTAATTTTTCACATATTTTTTAAATTTTTTTGGATTATATATTTTATCACAAAAATCAACTCAACAGATCTCAAGAAAATAAATTTTTCGTGTCCCTCAAATGTTCGGTGTTGGGTTTGACTAAAACTTTTAAAAAATTACGTTGTGATTCGCAGATTCAAATATTACATATCCTCAATATTTGAATAAGTAAATTACAATTAAATAAATTGGAAAATTTTAGCAAACATTATAAGTATTATTTATTATACATAATATTAACTTACTTTCACTCTCACAATGGATTTGGGAGGGCAGAAGTACCCCCAAAATAAAGAAGAGCAGTCCCCTGGTACCCCACATTTCGAAACTTGGGTAAACTCTTAGAATTGTTTGACAGCAAAGTTTTTGTGTAGAATTGAGAAATGTGTGTGATGACAAGAGGGTCTCACATTTCTCTTTATATATGCATGGATCATGCCACTAATCACTGATAACAACAGAATTGAGGTACCAAGCTATCTACGCACTACGCGGAAGAAATTTTTGACATCCTCCCGTGACCACTGCCGTCATATTTAATTATCAGAATTGCACCAAGTCCATGCCATGAATGAAATGAATGCTGGACTTTTTTTGCAATGATACACACTTAAAAATAATGTTACCCTATTGAAATGTAAATACGCTCGGAATTCTACATGAAGGATAACTTAACAAAGCTAAATCTTGTCCAAAATTTGCTCCTAATTAACTTAACGATAGTCTAAATGTCGCGTAAGTAATTACGTTATGTAGAATTTAGAATGAATTTACTCTTAAAAAGGGTGACACTATTTCTAAGAGTGCATCGATGGCATTAAATTCAACGCAGAGAATGCAAATTAGAGGATGTTCACCATAAATTCCTCGACCATTTCAATTAGTACAACTCTGCATATTTACATCATAATTAATATTAAATACATCCCCATATTGATTGGTTGAGGTGTCACTCGCACTTTGAGTTAGCATCGAACCATCGTTCATTTACGTTTGGATCGCATCACGCAACTTTTAATGGAGTGACAAACCAATCGCGACATCAAACCTCAAGTGATACGTATCATTCGCATTAGTTAATGTATGTACCTAATTCATCGTCCTCCGATTAACTGGTACCCACCTTTTGTGTGGCTAGCTAAGCTTATTCACTCGTCTGCGTATAATACAACTGTACATTTCTGCCCATTACCCTTTTTTTACTAAAATTTCTGATCGTTGTAGTTTTATTTCTTTTAAATATTTTCTTATAATCTATGAACCTATCACTTGCAATTTCTACTGACTGTACCATCCCAGCTTTCATATTTATGTCGAGGTATCAATAAAATTAAGTAATTATGCATAGAAAGTCAAATGCAACATGAAATAATTTTTATTTATGTATATAAACAAATATATTTCCAAGTTTATGAATTCGTAATTCCAGAATTGGGTCACCGTGCTGTACTGAGACCTTTCTGCAATTAAACATCTTAAAATCGAGGCAAATTAAGATTTATGCTAATTAAGACGTTGTTGATGGATGATTTAAATACATGAACCATTTAATTTATCTCCATTTTGTAGTCAGCCCCTGATTTCCAAAAATTCGAAGCTAACATGGAAACCGGATAGTGTATACTCGAAACGTGACAAATTATGAGAAAATAATTAAAAGAAAAGGGTAATTTTTGACAGTTTGTCAACCATACTCCCTCCTCAGTGACCTCGTTGAGATTCAGGTGATCCTAAAATTACGACCAATTTCTCCCCTCATATGTGCATTAGGCTCAATTAATCCTGGATTTTACGTCACACCATCATCTCCGTCGGAGTCCATTTACACACATAGTAAACTTGTCTAGTGAAACAACATATCTACAAGGCATTAAAACTTAAGGATGCATGACTTGTGGTCTCATATTGCTTAATAAACGTGAATATATTTACTTCTTGATGTATGTAGTACATTATTCCAACAAATTATAAATAAACAGATTAACTAATCAGTCATTAGTTTATCCGCAATTGGAAAGATACATTATTCGACACAAAGTTGGCATGCATGTCTGCTGTAAATTAGCTTTAACTTTGTTATGCTTGAGATTCGTTACAGGTCCTTTAATATGCTCAAGTTTAATGTCTGGTCGTAACAGTTAACACGAGTCAAGACCTTTATGACATTCTTAATTAATTGCGATCAATTAAAATTAATCAAAGCCAAATCACCATTATTTATTTATGTAGTGTAGTCAGTCGTTGCTAACTTGAGCTTGTTCATGTTCACATACTACGTTCATAATTTTTCAAGCTTGATGTGAGTAAAGTTACCACATAAATTTGTTGACTATATAAATGACTGCAGATACTACTACCATGATGGAGATCTAGATATTCTTTATCTTTAGTAAATAAGCACGTAGTAAAGTCACGCTCAATATTTACATTGAAGCAGGTGGAAAAATTAAATTTAACCCATTCGAAATTTGTCCAGTTGTTCGAACTCCGTTTTTTACAGTCTAGTTTCAGAAGATGACATATTTCTTGTCCTTCGTTGCTCTCGCTAGTTTATTCATAAATTTCTGTGAATTAGCTATATATATTATTTATTTGGACAGGAGAAAATTTAAATTTAGTATTTAAATTTTCTCTTTGGACCAGAGAAAATTTGTGAGTATATATACTCACAAACTAAACAAAACTAACTGTTAATTTCTATAGAGGCCATCACTGCGGAAGGAGAACTTTCAGAGAAATGGTCGACCAGGGATCAAGCCGGTTTAGCGATACGTGACCAGCTCCTCAGCAATCTATTCGGCTCGTACAAGAAGGAAAACCATGCAGAAAATACTACCGTACAAGTCGGCGTTACACCTGCGGATGTGATATTTGTAAAACAAAATTAAAATTTCAATCAATTTATTTTATTTTAATGGTACATCTCTTTAACATTTGCATTTGTACAATCTTTGTACTTTGTCTTTTAACAATGAACATCTTTTGAAACCATTTAATAATTATCGACTACTCGTTGATTCATACGTCATCTTACTTGCAGGATACAAAAAACGATGTAATGGATTCCAGAGTCTGGTTGCAACTCGTAAGGGAAAACTTTTAAATTTACGAATACAATTTTCCTCTTGAGATGGTAATTCGGTTAAGAATACTTTATCTTAGTCCTGGACAGACAGCAGGCTTGCTTGGAACGAAACTGAATTTCTTGTTTTGGTTTTGCGCGTTCCAGCAGACAAATTGTGGAAACCTGACATTTTCCTTTATAATGGGTAAGGTTTAGACTGAATGCATTTTCGTAAGTCTTATCTATGCCTTGCTAGTCTGCAACTGTTGTGTTTAACTTTCTCAGAGCCAAGCCTAGTATGAGCTGCTACGCGGCCAATGCACTGCTTTATCCCACCGGGAAGATTTGGTGGGAGCCGGCTTGTCGACTTCAAACCTACTGCAACCTCACACTAACAAATGCACCCTATGAGGAGCAGACGTGCACCATGAGGTTCGGTAGCAGAACGTTCGACGGGGCCACCATGGGTCTAGAACTATGGAAGGAGGGCAATGTGAGGCATACGAACTTTTGATTAAGTTACGAAAACGTGGGTTAAGTAAAAATCGGAGAGCGTTGACCGTGCTCGATTGGCCACCTAATACGATTCTACATTATCTCTAATCTAATTGGCGTAGAAAAAGCACACTAACTAAATTGAAAATACAAGCGTCAAATTTGCCATTACAATTTTCGTCAGCGGGTGTTGTTAAGTATGTATTTATACATGTCCAGATAATTCCTTGCAAGCGAATATTACGAGATTTTTTTTTATTTTTCAGGGTACACTAGCTGACGTGTCATACTTTGTCAACCAGAAATATAAAATCACCAAGAATGAGGCGATAAAAGAAGAGATTCTACGAGAGCTATTTGGAGCCATGTCACACCGTTCGCTTCACGTTAGGATTTCAACGAAAGATCAACGGAGGCGAGACCTGTGCGAAAAGTTGAAAAAAGAAACCGGATTAAAAATTTTGCTATACAATTTCTTGTATTCAGATACAGTAACTACAAATTTAAATTACAGGAATAAATAATTTAAAACATTGAAACAGGAACAATAGTTGTTCGTCGAATCATTTTTTCTTATGTTAAACATCAATATATTTGAAACTAAATATACGTATGTATGTATGTATGTACACTCTTAGAAAAATCAATAACCGCTGATATTGATACGTGACTCTACCGCGTGGTATTGATCCGGTATTGAATTAATACTACGTGGTAAAAACATTAATACAAATTAGTATTAAAATTATTACTATGAGGTATAATTTCAATACCGGTTCTATACCAATATGGTATAACCGTTTAATACCAAGGCGGTCGAGTAACGTATCAATACCGTCAGTTTTTTTCAATACCAAGTTTCTAAGAGTGTATACATACTTTTATTAAGGTTCTTTGCCAAAATACAGTGGCATGATGTCCATTTTTAATCGCTTAACAGGAATTTCTTCCGAATGGTGTCACGGCAAATTTGGCGAACTCCAGAATATTCGTATTCTAATAGTTATGAGAAATTTATGACAGGTCGGCCGATATACACAAGTATTACACTTCTCGCAATATCCTGTTGCGAGTTGCTTATGTAAGTTATCTGTTAAAATTGTCTTTAACCATGTTTAGCTTGAAGTAGACAGATTTGTGTACGTGATGTAAGCTATTCGTAAAAGCTTTTTTCCCATGTTGAGGTTGAGGTTGACGGATTTGCGTACGTGTTTTTCCGGAATACATTATCCTTCTAGTAGCTTTTCTCCTGATGTGGAGCACCCGTAACAAATATTGTTGGACGTTGCTCTTCAGTTATATTCTTCAAACTCTTATGTCAAAATCTGTCATTTGCAAGTGCAAAACCTAAACCTTGTATAACAGCCAATCAAAACGATTTTCAGGTCTCTGCAAAAAATGAGAAAACTCTTCAAACTATATTCTCACATTCAATGTTAAACTGAGGTTCGTTGACGGATTTGCCTCAATACTAGTCCTGGAAGACTGTTTTAAACTTATCTCAATTAAAAGAAAATTGTGAATAAAATCATCTATATTTAGAAATAACCAACGCAACATGTCGACCTCAATGATTTTACATTTTCTTATATTAATGTTCTTATTAATTAAATTTTTTTATTCCATTGAAACAACTTTTGCTCCGGTTCACGGTATATTCTCCCACTGCACATTTACCCTTATTACGCGTACGAATAAAATTCAACTCCTTCCTATCCATCCTTTGATAATATATGATGAAAGCTTTAGGCCAATCCATACTACTCATGGGAACAGCAATTTCATACTTAAAGAGGTCTCATTCACACGGCGAAGGCAGCCACGCAAGTTCTGTTGGACATTTGTGTTCCCCCATGGGGGAAAACTTACCCTAATGGACGATAACCTGAACCAATCTCCACTATTTCCTCGCACCCTTGGGTCTGCTTATCCAATTCAAATCATATGGATTACGTTATATGAACAGGCTCATCAAAACTTGGATCTGATTTACCGGTATATAGTCTCATGTCCCATTGTAACCTTAGGAAGCAGTGAATTCTACTTGGTCACCGAAGGTTTAAAGTTTTATCACTTAAATCGATACAAACGACCCCTCCTGGTGCAGTCCCAAATAGAAAAATCTTCTGAAATACTGTGCAAACTCACAGGTAGTACGGAATGTTTCGGGTTAATTGAGAGTTCAACGGATCAAATAGCTCATTCCTTCAACAAGTTCTACTGGATATCGTCCGAATGGCTGCATCCTGGATTTCTAATATACACCTTAACAGCAGAGTTTCTATCAATGCAGCAAAAACATTTTCTAGGCAAGCGATATTTTGATTGGATGCAAATTGCTGCCCAGTCCGAGTCGCTTGACGATTTTATGGCTTACACGATTCTTTCAGAATCCCTAAGCAATATAACATTCCCACTGCAGCTAAGCTTTGGAGAGATATACATTACCTACGGGAAGCGAAATTTCAGACAATATTTTGTCAATCACTAAGTTGTGCTTTTAGGAAGTTAATCGTACTCGTTTTTATCATGTTATGGGGTTAAGGGAGACAATTGGAATCCAGTATTTATCGATCCGTTCGACAAATACATTTGGATATGCATTATTGCTATAGTAGTATCATTTTCGCTTATATCATGGATTACTAATGGATTTGTTCTGAATTTTGATATCATCATCCTCCCATTAGCCGTACTTCTGGAAACATCAATCTCGAAAATCATAAGGAAGACGTTTAGAAGGAAAATTATTTAATATCTTTTTTGGTTCTGGATCTTCTCCAGTATTTCGTTAACCGCATTCTACAAAGACGTATTCACAACAGAAGTAATCCTCCCGTACAAGAGAAGCCTGGCCTGGACACACATTTATGATCTGGATGAACAGGGCTTTAAATTATTCGTACCTCTGAAACCTAACGAAAAAAATCTGTACGACTTATATTCTGAAGGCTCCCCGGTCAGGTCCATAGACTCATTTGAATTCTCCGAGGAAATTAGCAGAATTGGCAAACAGCAAGGAAACGATCTTATTCGATTTTCGGAATTTAAAAAGTTCGCAAAAGCACTTTTGGCTACAAATCCCAAAACAGCAGGGTTACCTTCAAGCACTGCGGGAAAGATGGAACGCATATATTTACACTATCAATGGCCATCACATGTCTACCCAAATTTATCAAAATGTGACAAATCTGCGTACATGGATGAAACAACTAATATAAGAAATATAGTTCCGTTTCTCAATGATGACGTGGACGGAATCGTTTTCTTGGAGGGTACGGATCAGGACTTCCTTCTAACTTGGACTGCAATTCAGATTGGCCCGACGCCAAGGGGGAATTTTGTTTTAAAGAGGGTTAAATATTTAACATCTTCTGGAATCTACCAATGGTGGGAAGCCTGGTTTGCTAGAACTAGACCAAAAAAATTATTTCCTTATTATGCCAATTGGACCAGACCGAGAATAGGAGCACTGACTAAATTAGATTTCGTTTCCAAATTTGTAAATGCTTTGAGGGTCTGGGGAATTTGTTGTGGAATCTGTGGAGTAGTTGGCATCATAGAATTATTTTTTTAGCACTTTGTTCCAGATAAATTCAGAATTATTAAATGAAGATGTAAACTTAACTTATATTTATTTATAGATTTCAATAGTACAATACTACGAGGAGTTAAATTCTGAAGATTAGAAGGCAACGAATTGAATTTTTGAAAATTCAATTAAACCACGTATGTCTTGTAAAAAAAATTACGGGCTGCTCGGAATCGAACCACCAACCTTTGGTTCTGAACTTCAAAATTTCATAAACCTTACACTCAATCCCAAGACACAAATTTTTGGATACCAAACAAGAATAAATAGTTTGAAAATTATTGTAATCATTCAGCTCTACAAATTATTTAATTTTAATCTAACTCATTTATTCCGTATTGCAGTTTATCATTGAGCTAAAATTTATTATATAATTATGATTAGTATTCATAAGAACATGGTACATTATGTTACATGAATTTTAAACTTCCTATTTTAACAAAAGAATTAACTACCTTACTTATTTCAAATTTATCTGTTTTATCCAACTTTTGTAATGCAATTACACAATTCTTGCCTCCCTATCAAGTACTCCCATACAAAAATGGTCAAACAAGGCAGAAGCAATACAATTAATAGTTTGACATAACCCATGAACGCGTCCCTCCCTATCATATCAGTCTCACTATCAATCATTCGTCTTGACCTATTGCACAACATAATTGTATCATTACTTCCGCCATCTTCATTCCCAGTGGCACAATTATATCTTCTCTTAAAATCCATCCTTTCCCTATACTCCTGCGATTTATAGTAATACTCCTGCCATTTCTCATAAACTCCTGCTTCATACAATCCCATTACTTTACTGGTCAACACCGGAAATGTGAAATGCCGACTGAAGCTCCACTTGTACATCATGGTAAAATTCATACTAGGTCGCGCTAAATTCATGATGAGGCGATACGATGGAAAAAATCTTTTCAGAAATTGACCCATTTGCATGAGTCGGTCATGAAAATCCAGAATTATCAACTTTTCCTTGGAAACCGTTCTATTATTCACGATCAACTTCTGTAACAAGCTTTCCACAAATAGCTCACTCGTCGTTTTAACGTTAAACCAATTGGTTTCATCATCCTCGTCAAAGTCTTCGAATTTGTCTAAAAGCTTGAAAATATCCGGTGTCACGAAAACTTGCAGATTTTCAATCGTCTCCCTCAGAAATAAAATAAGCTCGTACAATTCTTTATATCGCGTCGTAACCACGTCTAAATTACTGTTGACGAGTTCATTTAAATCGTTCGGGGCAATTATCACTACAGGAGTTACTATTATCGACATTAACACCATTTTGTAGCAGTTGCTGAATCCAAGGGCTAAAAATAGCCAGCATAGTGTGGGAATTCCTAGTATCCATTTGCCCCTCTCGCGCCCCGCCGTATTCATAGTTTTTCTTCTTTTTCTACCTCCTAGCTTGGCCATGGAAGCTATCACTTGTTCCAATAAGGACGAATACACCGAGAAGACCGAGTACGCTAAATCATTCACTATTTTTAAATATCCTGCCCCTCTTTGGTCTGACACTGAGAATATCGCCGTTCTTGCCACTGCTGTAATCACCCCGCAAAAGATTAGACTTCCCCACACTTTCCAGTGGAAGCATTTTATGAGACTGACCACATTAAAATCCTTCCCAACCAGGTTCCCATCCAGTATCAAAGCGTACGAAAAATGGTCGACTTTGGAATGAACATGCACCACGTCGTATCGCTCTTGTAGCGTTCGCATCTTTTTGAACGACCAATCGTCATAAGCCCGGTAATTCACGTAGTAAATGTTGCTATAACTTATGACCGCTTGCCTCTCGATGTTTTCGTCTTTCGCGTCTGCAATGAAATTCAAGCTTTTCCGAACCTCGACAAAACAGCAGGTCGAAGCAATAACGCGATTTGATATACTTCCCAATGCGCAATCCTCCCTTGTCACGCC